AGGTAGCTTCTATTTATCCACTACAGTTCATTAACATGTTAAATCAACACGAACCTGCAAGATTTTAAATCTACTATCATATCGTTCAAAGGCTGAAAGTGGGTTTTATTTTCATATATATCTTTTATTTTTTATATGGTTTTTAACTTTAGTTGATATGAAACGTTTTGCTTAGAATATGAATTGCAAAATATTCATTAACTTCAAAATAAAAAGCAGAACGAATTGTAAATATTGTTATTGTTTACTTAATTCCAAACAGTCATCCTTCTCTTCTCGTTCCTGTTTTCAACGTAAATTTATGTTATTAAATGAAAAAAAAATCCTGTCACAAATTTTATAACAAATCTCATCAAGACTTTGTTTTGATCGAAAGAGTTTTATGTCAGAAGATCAAGAGATAAATATAAATAATTCTAGACTTCACAAAAAATATTGTTGCGACGGTTCTCATCTGAGGCTTTATCGATGATAAACAAATATTTAAATAAAAAAAATATTTAAAAGTGGTAGGTCATCTTCTATGCATATTTGGTTAACCTACTCCAATACTTACAATACTCCACTCCTGGGTCAGTTATTTCTCTTTTCAACGTCAAATACTCCGAATGATACTGTTATGAAGATTTTTTATTTAGCGTCATAGGTACAACACTGAAAGCTTGTTTAATTTGTTCCAGTGAATGTTCAATGTGCAGAAAAATATGTATGTAATTATATGTATGGAATTTCATTTCCAAATAAAATTTTCTTCATTGATTCGTTTCTTATGCATTAATGAGAGGTATTAGTTTAGTACTGTTGTACAAATTGTACATATGCTGCCTCAAATGGGAGGGATAAGAAATTAATATATTTTCTAAATTTGTTTTCTCTGCCCACATACCCGAACAAAAAGTTTGCTCGTGTGGGTGTTGTGTTCATTGAACGCCGCCTTTCCTTGTTGATCTTGTTTATCATATTTTGTTCAATTACATTTAGCTTTAAATAATGCATACGATTTTGTCAGACTGCCTTCTGTATTACAAGCAAAATTCTAGAAAAGAAAGAAATATTAAATAGCGAAATAAAATAAATATGAAATACCTTGAAAGGCACACAAACATCACATATTTAAGAAACGAATAATCTTATTACAACACTTTAAAAAGAGCCTGAAATCATCAAGCCAGAAATAATGCTATTTTGTCATATTAAGGGAGGATGTATATTCAATGACTTCAGACATAAATATAAAAAGGACATTAACCAAAACTTTTATCTTTTGGGGCATACTTGATCAAATGTCGCTAGCTCTAATTTTGTATTCAAGGACAGAATCCAGTATTGACTTATGTAGCCAGTCAATTTACCATTCTTAATTTGAAAATTGACAGAATGTAATTTGAGTTACTTACCTGGAAACCGTAAAAAATCAAACGAAATGATATTAAATAGAGTTTTAGAGTTGTGATCTACATTTTGCATAAACCGGAGTGATTAATTCTGGGAAACCCATTTTTTTAATCTTTTTCAAACTTTAGTTCACCCATGGTTTCTAAAAGAACAAACAGTTAAAATGACATTAGATAAGAGATAACTCTAAAAATTACATCCTTATAAGCTTCCTTTTTCTTATCATATTATGCTCTCCCTACACCTCGATTTACTTTGTTAATACATTTTTTACCTCAACAGTGCCCTTCAATGTATTATTCTTGCGTTTTGTTTTATGAATTTTTAGCGGCCATATGTATGGTTAAAGGTAAAGGAATTGTCTATCGACGGTTGAAGGTTTATACATAACTTTATTATTTGTTAGTTCATTCGCCTCGTTTTCGTATCTGGTTAATTGAACCAGTGGATATTGTTTTTGTCAGTTGTTTATACTTAATAATTGCTACTATGAATAACGCTTTTGTCTGACATTTTTGATCTTCATCTCGTCGATAAGACAACTGTGAGTATGCGCAAAAATAAATGAGCTTCTACCTTTGTTCTTCTACAACATATGTTCAACTTATTTAATTCTAGACAAAGCCTTTTGCAAACTTTTGACTGTCAGCAATGGGCAGTCTGTCACTGTGTGACATATAATTCACTAACTAACTCAAGGTTCTCTAGCAGTTTGGTTTTCATCCAAAACTTTCAACATGTTGCATTGTAAAAAACGACTTTGAAAAGATCGTTAACAGCAGCAATACACATCGTAAATGTAGAAAATAATTGTCCTTCAAATCTCATAAATGTATCCCATTCTTATGCTTTCTTATGGCAATAATTATCTACGGTCTAGGCTTGCAAAAATGATTTCGATGATATCAAAACTTAAACAATAATTAAACAAATATGTGACTTACTAAAACATATAGTTACATTCGATATTTTCTCTATATTTAACTTAATAAAACTATAGAACTTTGAAAAGCCAAAAGAATAGCACAAAACATATACAATCTGGATAAAATAACATCAACTATGCTCATGATTTGTATTTTCCATTTTTCAGTTCTGTTTTGCTTAGATGGTAGTCGAATGTGAATCATTGTCCGTCTATCTCTTTGTGTTCAAGTTTAAATATATTTATAAATTATGCAATAAACATCTGAATTAATGAATTTTATATTTTATATTCAATCAGATCCGTACCGAGTCATTACAAGGTTGAAATTGTTCATTTGGCGAACTGAAAAGAAGCCAATTTTACCTTGCGTTTCCAACTTTGGGTACACCCACTGGATTCTGTAACGGGCTAGTCATGTAATAAATCAGGTATTAATATATTTTTCTCTATCAAACCAAGTGATATTGACAAATTAAAGATGACTTACTCCAAAAAATATGAAAAACAAGATCAACAAGGAAAGGCGGCGTTCAATGAACGCAACCCCCCCCCCATGACCCAGCAACAAGAACCAATGGCAAGGAGCCCAGGCGGACCCCAAACATAAAAAGGACAGGGCAACGACACGTTAATCATTAAATGATAAATAATTTGTAACTGATTAGGAATTCAAAGAAAATAATAATAGGCCCACAAAGGGGAAGGGGACAGGAGACGGCGGGAAGGGGGGGGGGTTAATCAAAGAAATAAAAACTAGAGGCAATGGGGAAGATACTTAACGTAGACGAGAAAACAACAAGGGACACAAGCAAAAGTGTCACCAAAACAGTATGAAACAACATAGACATACATCTGAGGAACACAGGGGGGCGCCGCCTTGGAACGGTCAGCAGCATAATAATGACTGCTGGGGAGTTTAAACCGGTTAATGGTGCACCAAACCTCGCTCTTAGCCCCACCATGTTCCTATAAACGAGACAGTGTAAATAAAATGAATCCCCGCCAAGTGAAATTCTAACAGTTGTCATGGTTACAAAAGGTAAAATAAGTAAAACACTAAAATGATCATGTAGAAACATATAAAAGTAAACCCAATGACCATAACAAAAGTACTCAATGTCCTAAAGGAAGACAGAGCAACAAGAAAATCACCTACAAGGGCCCGACGAAGCAAGGCAGAAGACAAACATTAAGACAATTCAGTCCCAAAGGGCTTTACGAACTATCCATCATAGAGTCTCCCACTTGGTCCGTCAGATGCAATCAAAAGAGGAAAGCGTAGTGTCCAACTGTAAAAGGGTTGAACACTAAACATGCAGTATGTCTTAAAATAGTAGGGTCATAACCTCTTTTAATAAAACGTTTAATGATTTTAGCAAAAACAGCAGAAAAATTACCATGACCCAAAATCTTACGAAGTTTGTAAACCACATCGCCATAAAAACCAGGCTGGCTAATCCCTTGTCGCAGAAGAGTTTTTAAATCACTATTGAATTTAGAAATTAAATCAAAGTTACGATTGTAAAATTTAGTAAAATATTTCTGTAATTTATGATAGCGGTAGCCCTGTTTTAGAAGCTTGCTGGTAATAAAAATATTCCGCTCGTTGAAATCCTTTACGTTGTTACAAGCTCTAGCGAATCTAATTAACTGAGAAACATAAACCCCGTAGGATGTTGCATGGGGTACGTCTCCATCCAAATGTGGATAATTAACTATACAAAAGTCAAAGTCATCTCTTTTATCATAAATTTTCGTGTGAATAGAATTGTTGTTGATAGTAATATGAAGATCCAAAAATGATGTACTAAAATTTCAAGAGTTCGTTTTGTTAAGTTGTAGTTCATGCGGATAAATGTCAGACACCATTTGATCAAAATAAGGATTATCTAAATTAAAAATATCATCAAGGTATCTGGAAGTATTATTAAATGCGACTATAACATCTTGTTGTTTCTCTTCAGAGAGACTCAACATAAAGTCTCCCAAAGTCAATACCGAAAAGTAAGTCACATTTCGTTTCTACCCTATTTATTTTGAAGAACAAAGTGATCGTCATTATAGATTCTAAGGTTTTTCTGATAAAGACAAGTTCTGAATCAAGGTTTAAGATGCTTGACTGATCATTTCGTTTCGAGAAAAGCGGAACAAGATATAAGAATAACAGTAAATTTAACAACACCTCCTTTTTAACCACAGTGCAAATTTTGTTTTTAAACGTAGACAATAATAAAATGATTGGGACATGGCTGACTAGAAATAATGTTTCAAGATTAATGCTCAAATTTGATGTAGGTCTAGATAAGTAGCATGTGTGCACAATTTCAGATCATAAGTTATCGAGGATCTTCAAGAATATGAATTAAAATCGTGAAAAAAGACCTAACATTGAAAAGCGTTGCAACGCTTTTTACTTAAATCGGGCTATGATAAGTAAATTATTATTTAAAAGCTCTGCTAGCTGTTTCGTAGAGCTGGATATAATGGCTTTTTAAATCAGCTTTAAACGATAACAAACAGGAATAAATAAATCATGTTTTTTACCTTAAAATTATATCTCCTCAACAGCTAGGCATATTTTCTTCGAAACAATCCTTGAGTAAATTGATGGAAATGAATTGTTTTTGCTTTAAGCTTCTGTAAAAAATTATTACCGGGGTTCAAAATAAACAAAGAGTATCATATATATTTTATTTTCCAAAAACCACTAAAATGATTTCAAGCAAAATATTGAATGGTCAATTTAAGACATCAACTTTTTACACACAATAGAAGGACAACTTAAACATTTAAAAAAAATAATGTTCGAAAGCAATAACAGGTCACAAAAGAATGGTCCCTTTGGGTTTTGTTTCAATGGCAGAAAACACAAAACTGTGGCTTATTTCATCTTGAGCGTGTTCATTCATTCCCTGCCAAAGTGCAATTTTGCTGAAATTCTGTGACATTGTTCATTCTCTTGTCGAGTCCTTGTTACGTCATATTCAGTAAATAAACACACTGAAAGCACATAAAAATATACTTCAAATGTATTTTGTAAACACTTGGTTTAATGACTGAAAACATAAGTCTATCTGCTAGATTTGATGAGCTCCTTAACTTAAAGTCACAGTAAAGATGACAAAATTGACTTTCAAAGGAAGATGACAAAAACAAGAAGGTTTAAAGGTCGCTTCTAAAATAGTTTTTATTGCGTATCTACTTTTTGTTAAAAGATATTAAGTGATATTTGTTGTTTCCAAAATGCTACTTAGGTTTTTATCAAAGCCTGTCTAAAGGCTCCGTAATTATGTTTCTTTAAATCTGTTTTCTATTTTGCTATTTCAAGAAATTGAGGTAGCAAGCCTATTGTAAATGACGCTATAAACGTAGCGTTCTTCTCAAACTGTCACTTTTATGTTTTATCTTTTTCTAAAACCAATGTGTATCAACTGCGCATGTGGTATTTTAATAACTTTTCTTAAAATCTTTTAAACAATTCATGTTTAAAGTAACAGATTTACCAAGCTCGTTTTTTTATCTCAAACAATAGTTAAACAACAAAGAGCAAATCTGTTTTTCTCATCGCATACACAATAATACTATTCAAAGACATCTAAATCCGTACTGCTTATCCCTCTGGATGAAATAAATGATCAATTACTCTATAATGTGAGTGTTTAAAATGAAGATCAAGACTAAAATTCCACACAAATAAAGAAAAAAGTACCTTGTTTTGTTTATCCAGACGATTAAACTAAAATAACCTTGAGACCTCAAGTGCCCAACCAATTGAACAACCAGGCAGATTATGAACAAAATCGTAAGGAATGAATTTATTGTAGAAAATCTTTTGAAAATATTACTATAATCATTCAACTACGCTGAACAGAAATGTCACGTTAGGTGGAAAGAGCCTTAAAAGTTTAACTCCTTAACAACTAGGTGTGCTCAATACCGACAAACATTGCACAGTTCTCTTTTATAGAACATAAATAGTTTTTTAAACTTTATTTACCTAATGATATTTCAGGCAACTCGCATCTGTTACAGTTCAAAATTGTTGAATCATATTTGTATGTTTAAGTGATAAAACAAAACTGTTATAGATTTTTTTGGCTGGTTCAATTATTGCATTATATTTACATGTATAAGCAATAACTGCATGTAAGAAATAAATGAAAAAACATGCAAGTTTTATTTCAAATCATTATAAATATTTGAAAATAAAATAAACAAAAGTAACACTGTTTTGTTTACTTTCTGATATCAAAAGTACCATGATTATATGTTTCTTCACGATTTCATATACAGATTTCACGTTAAGACATCGAGAAGGTTACGGCACGTGTATATTAAATGGGCAAAAGCTGTGGCTTTGTAGCTTGGCTCTTATAATGAATATTGACCGAGCTGCTAAACAGATTGTTTTTCAAAGAATTTTAGAATTCATACTGTCGGGAAGACAAAAGAAAATGTCAGTTTCTTGCCACAAACTTTCATGACTTCGACAGCTGGCATTGCTCAAATGTTGACAATACATTTAAGGATATGCTATTACTTTCTTCTTAAAATCCAAACATTGAAGGGGAAGGAAGAACTTTTGAAACGAAATCGAAATACGAAATTTCAGTTTTATCATTTGTATCTCTTAATAGAACCGTGCTTACCTATTTGTTTCAAGTCTTATCGTCAAGCATGCCTATGAAAAGACTTTTGAAATCATATTTAATTTAATTTTTTGTTTCCATGACATGCATATGGTGTCAGCGCATGTGCAGATGCAGAACAATGTGTATTTAAATACTTTAAAAGTTTGAAGTATTTTCGTTACAGTAGGATTTAAAAGGAGATGTTAATTGCAAAATATTTACAGAATCGTTTTTCAAAGACATATTCATCAGCATATTTTTTAAGTCAATACATGTACGTACTTGCTAACAAAATATTACATCCTGTATCCTGTCATTAATTTCAAGAATATACAAAATAGATTTAAGTCTTTTTGTACGTATCTAATTCTTTACCTTGCCCTTTTTCCATCCGTGGACATTATGAATAGTCATCTTTTCGCGAACAATATTAAGTATACCACTCTATGGTCTCTGGGTTTAAGTGACTGTTTTACGATAAAATGGTGTACTAAAATACATAAATCAACATTCTGTCCTGTAGCTTTAATATTGCATTTCTAAAATCATTATTTATCTTCATCCGAAAGAATTTTCACAACTTCAGTTCTATTTTTATTTCAAATATAAACAATTTTAATTGATTCTTTCAGAAGACAATGGACAATTTATTGAAATCAATATGATGATAAATTTTAATTATGGTTTGTTAACATTTGTAGGGAAGTCAATTTATTGTCTTCTGTAATGAATTTTATTCTTTGTGTATTCGGTCCAAGTTATATGTGTTTTTATTCTTTTAAAATCATATATAACGTTCTAGAATAATCGTTTAGGATTCCTTTAGATGTTCAGGACTTAATTGTTTTCAATTGCTACTTGGCATTTTATAAATTTAAAATGCTTCACCTTTTTCATAGTTATTTCATGCATTCCGTTTTGTTCCGAACTATCCACTTCAATTATAAAACTGTATTTTATTAATAAGTTTGACCCGGGCCAATTGTAAACTCACTAGCCGAAACTGTTTACTGCTTTGCTTAGGAGCAAAATATATTTTAAGTACCATGATTTCATCTCAATCTAATAATTTGAAAAAGTGTAGCTCGGGTTAATACTTCAAGTAAAAACGGTCTTGAAAAAAGTTCCAATTCTTTTTTTAAAAAACAAATATTATTAAAGCCAACAAGTATTGAATTAATCTGAGGGTTATATTTAAAGTAAAATAGTTCAAGGGGGCTGTTTTATAAGTTTGCATTATATTGCCTTTTTCTAAAAAAAAAACAATGCTTTTAACAAAAGCAACCTGAGCTTTGCATGCAGACCCGAGAGGTCTAGTCCGTATAAAAATAGCTTTCTTTTTGCAGATATGACTTTTATCAGGTTATTTAGACTTACATCTCAATATGATTTTGTTGATTTTAAACAGAAAATACGAAATAAAATTTTTTATTTTGTATTTTCTATTTTAATTCAACCATGAATTCCCATGTAAAATGAGCACTAAATTCAAATCATTAAAGCGAAAATCGTGTTGCCTCTTTATGCTTACAATTATAATAACCGTTAATTATATGTATGAATTTTCGCTAATTGGTCATTACACCTTTTAACTAAATAATATGATAATCTGTTCATCTTATCATATATAAAATATTATTTATTATACATTTTTAATCCGTTTTTAGTTGCATATCCAAAACTAAAATAAAAAAATAAAATTCATATTCAAAATGAATATATAGCGTATTGATGAACCAATCTTAGAATACTGACCACAGATCCAGTCAATCAATGTAAACAAATGATAACATCAGTTTAAACCAATAGAGTAATCTCCCTTGCAAAGTATCAGACAATGCAGGCGGATTTGTCTCCCTTTGGAAATTTATGAAATTAAACAGTAGTGCAAGAGTTTCGTCCCTTACACCAAATTTTAAAAATAATACTCTGTAAAAATTTATAAGAATTAAATCATATATTGCATATATTTCACAGTGTTAGAAAATACAGTTTGACATATTTTGATTTTGAAAAAAGATTGTATTCAGTACTTCGTTTAAATTCAATATTATTAAATACATTCGAATTAAGTATTCTAGCGGTATATGTTAACTTTACAAGGGTGGTGGTGCGCAACTGTACCGCTTACTCATTCTCCAAAATGCGATTTTATTATTTCCTATAAGACACAATGAAAAACAATTCTTAGTCCATCAAGGTAGGTCGTATGTCCATCTGCATCGAGGATTATTCATTTATTTATCAATGTTTTGAATGTATATTTATCAAATAATTTTCCAGCCGTCTGCCGCTGCAAATGGTCTTATGACCAGATATTTATTTACAAAAATTGGATACACTTCTTTACAATAGAAGAGGACAATAGCTCATTAGTCAACAACATATAGAAATAATAGATATAGCTCATCTGTCAACCATGGCAGATCGTTCGTCAGTCTAAATCTAAAATAATATGTTAATCAACACAATAAATTTATTCATTTATTTAAATCTCAAAGGATATGATGCTGTTCGTCCATCCTTAAGAAAGCACGTTCGCAAGTGAGCCTGAGCAAAAAATTAGTGATGAGGCAGAATACAATTACAGACAAATGTCTTTAAGAAAAAATGGAATAGCCCAATAGTCCACCATTGCAGATAAATCGGCTTATAAGATCTTCAAAAGATTCTTTATTTACAGTGAAAACTGTTTACAGTGACCTTCGATGCGAGTAAAAAGGTCATTATAGACAGGGGTTCACTGTGAACAGTCTCTACAGAATTCGGATAATTGAACATATTTTGCCAATATTTTGTTGAAAAGCAGGATAGTACCATACTTAGGGTTTAATTGTATTTTTCTTTATATTAAACATATATTAAAGTGTATAGCAATGTAAATATAAGATAACATCAGTTAAAACCAATAGAGTAATCTCCCTTGCAAAGTATCAGACAATGCAGGCGGATTTGTCTCCCTTTGGAAATTTATGAAATTAAACAGTAGTGCAAGAGTTTCGTCCCTTACACCAAATTTTAAAAATAATACTCTGTAAAATTTATAAGAATGAAATCATGTATTGCATATATTTCACAGTGTTAGAAAATACAGTTTGACATATTTTGATTTTGAAAAAAAGTTGTATTCAGTACTTCGTTTAAGTTCAATATTATTAATTACATTCGAATGAAGTATTCTAGTGGTATATGTTAACTTTACAAGGGTGGTGGTGCGCAACTGTACCGCTTACTCATTCTCCAAAATGCGATTTTATTATTTCCTATAAGACACAATGAAAAACAATTCTTAGTCCATCAAGTTGGTCGTTCGTCCGTCTACATCGAGGAGTATTCATTTGTTCATTTATTTGTCAATGTTTTTGAACATGCATTTATCAAATAATTTCCCATATAGCTCATCTGTCAACCATGACAAATCGTTTATCAACACAATGAATAAACAAATATTTATATCTAAAAGGATAAAAGAATATGATGCTGTTCGTCCATCCTTTAGAAAGCACGTTCGCAAGTTAGCATGAGCGAAAAGTTAGAAATGAGGCAGAACACATTACACAAAAATGTATTTAAGGGAAAATGCGATAGCCCAATAGTCCACCATGGCAGATATCTCGCCTAATAAGATCTTCAAATTATTCTCCTTTTACCAATGTACTTAATAAATTTAGAACAGTTCAAATGATGTCCTAATGAATATGTCTTCTCCTTTCCGTTCTGTATATCAATTCATCTACTAGTTCAAATAAAATTTCACCTTCTTTACTTTCTTTGTTTGGTCAGTCCGTACGCCTATTATTTCGAGCAATTAATTGTCTTCAGGCGATAAGTAGTAAAACATAATGAATTCATTCTTACGACTAACACGAAATCCCTTGCTACGCTTATCTTTTGAATACGGATGACTTTATTCTTTTATATATACATGTATATGCATGAACTAAAAAAGAAAAATGATGTCTATCCTAGTCTAAATTATGCCATCAGCTGGTCTTGTCACAGATATGGTCTTGAAGTCTAAAACAACTTAAATATTTATTATGCCATTATTCATTCCATTCTCAGTACCTTCATCGACCCGTCTGTCCGTGATTTGACAGATGAAAGATTTTTTTCTACATACATTACAGTACACATTTATATGGCCAAGATCGACAATTCTATGTTTCTTTTTGTCAAATAATTTCTGGATGGGTAACAATGATATAGCCTTATCAATCCAATCCTTTCCTCAGTCAGCCTTCGCCATTCTGCCCAAGAAAAAATGACAAAGGGTCATATCAACAAACTCTATATTCACTCCGTATAAAAAGTAAAATGTACATATCGCTTAATACAACAGAATGATATAATGTAGGAAAAGAAGATTCAGTTCAGTATAACCAATTCGTCCGCCTGAATTGATACGTTGAGTTTTTTTTCCATTACATTACTGTATATTTATCTACCTAATTTCTAACGTATTTATTCATCTTTTAATCAGAAATGAGTTTTATCTGCACATGCAACAACATAACAATTTAGTAAAAAACCATCAGAAATTTGATGATAGGTCATACGTCCGTTTTGATTAAAAAATCTTAATTTATTCACGTTTTAATAAATAATTTCTAAATGGTTTAATTGCTTGAGCACTGTCTATTGTTCCTTTATCCAATCGGTCGGCCTGTCTATCCTTGCAAACAGATAGCCATACCTCTATATTTATAAAACAATTATATCTAGAAATGACCATTCAGTCCAATTAGTAGATCATTTGTCTGTCTAGAAACACAATTAATTTATTTTTATTTTGTTTAGCCTTTATCAATTTTTTGAAAAAAGTTAGTATCAAAATGGCGTCATCCATCCTTCTTTCAGACAGTTAGTCCGTCCTCCCGCCGTACGGGCAATAACAAAGGCAATCTGATTTTAAGCAAACATTATTTCCTATTCATAACATAACTCTTGGTGGTTCAATTGAAATCGCTTTGACCATCCTGTCTTCAGGCAGTCCGTAAGACTTTCTGTCAGTAAGCTTAAATACGGTAGACAAAAGGTGGTTTTCACTCTAAGCAAGCTACAAAAGACCTTGGTCAATACATTACATTAGAAAGAGTATCTTTGAAAGCCATAAAAGATGGTTATGCAATTGCCATGGCATTTGCCTGAAAACACTTGCTTGCTCATTTTTGTACGTCCCTGATACAGAAAAAGGCCCAATTCAACAATGACTTAATAGTTTATATTCCCACTTTTATCTACCATGCTTTTTCGTCTTCACATAGATGTCATATTATATTTTCTTTCATTTCATTCAGCCAAACATACTAGTAAATAATTTATGATTTAACTCCATAATTAATATCCTACATGGATAAAATATAAATAAGAAAGACAATGTAGGAGTGGCTACTACAGGTTCACTTTAATTTATCGATTGAATAAATATACATTCATACACATCGACGACGCTTGAAAAAAAATCACTTTAAACTAGTGAGGAGTGTCTCTGCACTTAACAATAATAACATATGCTCATATAAAAGTCCCATGTCGTCGATCCGAACATTCCAAAAATTGTGGTTCCGTGTAATTCCAGTGCACTGTAAGGAATAATATGTCTTAATAAACACAAATGTGTTACCTCAAAGTCAGAACCACAAAACTCAATCAAACTTAACATCCATCCTTGCAACGTTATCAAAAGACAACAAAAATTGTCTACTCTAAAAAAGACAAAACAAAGATAATTTCCATATTAAATAGACATTAATCAATACCGTTGATTAACCTTAAATTATACATTTTTTTAACATTATTGTGGGATTACAAAGTCCAGCATGACATATACAATCTTAAGTGTAATCTCAAAACGAGGGCGGGGTGGGTGGGCGTCTGTGTGTAGTGAACCTATAGTACCTCGAATGGTCAAATACCCGTGTACATACACCTTATATATTGACCAGTCTTACGCATCGATACGCTTGGTGGACAGCTGAAATACAGCTGCGCTGTCCACAGTGACCGAAAAATCATATTATATTAAAGACCAATGATAAATAAATAAATATTTTTCATCAATGTCTATGCCATATGAGAGTTATAACTAACAGGCCAGATCGCTTTTATTCGGATCCTGTCAATGTTTACTTTATTTCGCAAGATGGTCAGTATACTTACTTGGCATTAATCAGTAATAAGAATTTCTTTCTAAAAATTGTGAAATTATATTTTGCTGATAGCAAACGCGTTCTTTTTTTACTTCAGGACCATAATCCGTTATTCACATTATTCATATAATGACACGGAAATGTCGCATTAGGGTTTCAGGATCACAACCACATTAGATACCTGCATCAATATAATGTACCAATTTAATGACACAATGTTTTTGCTTTGTGCAAACGGTAAACTAGGGCATGGGTGGTATATTGAATTAGCCACAGCTGTCAATAAGGAGGCTCAGTCAAACCAAGAATGCAACATTTTCAATGACATAACTTTATGTTTTCTGAAACTTGTAATGTTTCTATTTGCAAAGGTTATAGACGATAAACTAACATGATAACGTATTCATTTACACACGAAATAAATCATGTAAGTGGTAAGAACAGCAAACAATATAAATTATGTAAGGTATATTAAATCAATACATGCCAATAGTAAAGTACCAATGTTATCAAGGAAGATTACACTATCTTTGGCTTGCAAACAATGCATTTGATTATTATTTTTCGTCTCGGTGTCACCATCGTTAAAACAATCATCACTAAAGAATTGTTTCGAAATCAAGTTATACCTTCAAAGTAATAGAAATGTATAAATAAATATCATTTGTCCACAATACGCTTTATTGGTTGTTTGCAAAATATGATTTATTCTACTTTTTATCGCAATTTTTCTGCACTAGTACTAAATCAATAACTGCATTTTTAAAAATATTTTAACAGATGACATGACAGCAATGTCTGTAATTTCCGCGGATAGTAAGTACATTTTGCGCATTTTGATAACTTGAACAGTTTTCATTTTTTCATTACACTTTAATTTTTAAAATAAGTCAGAGTGATTTAGTAAAAATAATAATGAAAAGAGTAAACATAAACAACTTTGTTAATTCTTCTTTTATCATATGATTTATATGACAATCAACAATATTTTTGTTAGGTATGTGAACATCCAATTTTACTCTTCGTGGATGTGTTATGTAGATATCGTTTGTGATTGGGGACATTTTATAGAGTGTTAATAAAAACAAATAATCAGCCGATTATTCAAATCATTATTGAGCTACAGGCATTTTCGTGTTTATTAATACATAATGCAAATAAATTTGTCAAGGTTAAAGAATGTACTTTACTTGCTTGTAGAGAGTCGGTCACTTAACCACGACAAATCTGCTTGATCAAAAATTGATTTGCCATTGACAATAGCATTGAGTCATACCAGCTTATATTTCCATTCTGTCTGAGTAAGCTGCTCAAGTTTTGTAATCTGATAATGGAATTCATAAAACTTGAAAACATTGTTCAAATTTCAAATATGGTTAGATGAATTATATCGTATAATAATTTATGTAATTTCTTATATTAGGCTATTCCTTTAATCTTAATTATGACAGTGACAATGACAAGAGGAGAGATCTGAGCGTATATGTAATTTATGTAAAGTTTCGATGGGAACAGAATATTTTTTTGTAATGATATGTACGCCTTATGACAACTTAAGATCAAAATACTTACCAAGAAAATATTTTGTTAATCCAAATATTCATAATTTTTTTAATATTAATGAGTTGGCAGACTGTAAATATTATAGATAATTTGGCAAAGTTTGTGTTCCATTGAAAAAGAAAAAAAACTAAGTGTTAGAACATGACTAAATATGATAACGTACACCATTAGATAGTAATAAGATTTTTGTGTAAACATAATGCTAATTGAACTTTATTCCATTGTATGTAAATGTATTGAAATGTTTTTGTTGTTCTGGGCTAGAGGCATTGAAACAATAAAATCTTTATCATTGTCATTGTCATATTCTTAAGTAAAATATCATCATTTTCAATATTTGTAAAAGAGAACGATTTCAAAAATCATTTTTTCCCGAGTTTTACGATTATCTTGCCAAATAAATGCTGAGAAGCCTTCAAATAAACATTCTCTTACGCAGCTAAGCCGAAGAAATAATGAAAGCCAATCAATGTAACAAAATTTTCGCAGATAAGGTCATTTGGCAAATATAATTCATAAAATGATGCGTTGTCGTCAGTTAATTTGAATATTGAATTTGCATTTTATCAGATAGCTTGTCAAGATGCTTGACAAACATCTATATTTCTTGATAATGATTTGAAGAAATGTTCCTAAAAATAAAGACGTTATTTTATTGTGTCTGTTATCATTTTTCGGCCTCATCTATTCCATGTTTATACGATAAATGTTATTTCTAGAGCTTAGAACAAATTAACGTCATAAAAAATGGTTCGTTTGCAATAAAAATCATATATACAGGTGCATGTATGTAAATGCAAAATTGAACAGAGAAATGATACTTAAAGTGTAGACTTAAAATTGAAAACAAGCACAGGAACAACAGGGAAAAAAAAGAAAAAATTAACAGAATCAACATTTGATCACATAAAATCTTTTAGTGTAACTTACTTTTAGCAAATGTTACCGGATTAGGCATTTCAAAATATAGCATTAAATTGAGAAATAAGAAATGAATTTGTCGATTCAAATGGAGATAAATGCACTTTCACTGAACTACTGAATTTAAATGCTTATATCCATCAAGATGCAAGCTGAAGTTAGTGTGTGACTGCGTAAATACATTTATTAATCATTATATTTGTCATTTTTTTAATTAAATAGGAAAGAAATAAATGCAAATATGTTTTGCACTTGAGAAATGTTTCGAGGGAGGCATATAATTGTATCTAGAAGCATTGGATAAGTGAGGGCATCTGTGTCCCATGGGCACACTTTTAGTTTTGTTATTTGTGTTAGTTATTTTGGTCATGGTAAACGGTTATTAAAAATATTTTTTCACTTGATCATACAAATGACAGATGTGCAGTGAGCAATATTAGCCTAAAATTCCCTCTTTAATCCGTAAATTTGTTATGTCTGTTTTAAATTTCAGGTTTTGTTCAAATTAAAGCAACATTAACAAAAAATGTTGATCTAGTTTTGTTCAAATTAAAGCAACATTAACAAAAAATGTTGATCTAGTTTTAGTTGTAATTGAAGAAATTGTGAACAATTCTGCAGGATTGAATTGACCATAAAAGCTGCTCTCCTGCTCAAAACTGGTCTAAACCATCAAAATGTTTTTACAAACATACAACAAATAACATAACATTGTGATGTTAAAGTGTTCGCGTTATTCGTGGTTTACTTCTTTTCCGCGGTGTGCCTTTTCTTTATAAGGGTAAACAAGTGATAATTCAACCGAAAAAAAACTTGAATAGGCATCTACATTCGGTGTTTCGATATGAATTATCAAAGATCAAAATCAAACGTATTAACGCTTGGGCTTAAACCGACGTAAAATGACTGTATGGGTCGGTAGTCATTATATAAAGTACTGTCTGTAGACATAGATGATTTTATATTCATTATTTTAGTTTTATTTTGGAAATGTCTAAGCATGTCATTAAGCTTGATCCAATTAAGTAAAACATTTCACAAAGTATCATTATACTTCATATCGCTTAATAAGAGCTTAAACGTACCATATTGAATTGAAATGAAAATTTGTCTTTGAAGCGCGGGCGCATTCAAATAATGAAGGAAGATAATATATAAATAACACATGGGTTTGTGGGTAACAGTAAAAATATCATCCCGAGGAAAATACTGTTACCTGAGGCGTAGCCGAGGGTAACAGTATTTTACGAGGGATGATATTTTTACTGTTACTCACAAACCCATGTGTTATTTTTTTATTACTCCGAACAACAATACTGCGATGATCTGAAATTGTCAACAAAATCTTGAACTGTAACAAAATAAACCAAGAGTAACAATAACTAAACTATCCTTACCCTTTAAGTTTTAAGAGTACTTTAGGCCTACTTCAGAAGTTTTCTTTTTCTTTTATTCTTTATGCAAGTGATGATATCTACAAGTCATAAACATAAAATAAGCTATGTTTTATTTAGAAAACAAAACACTAACCCATTTACACGGTTATGATCTGTGAAATCTGATCCTTCTGTTTCCAGAATATTCTTAGCATGGTTTTTGACAAAATAACGATGACATCCTATGTCTGTCCATCATACCTGTAACGTTTCACTGATTAAAATTGTTAAATAATCCTTTGTTGCATGCTTAAATCGTCTGCATGTTCCAGGTTGACACAAAATTATTTACATTGCAAGTACTTCCGTTGAAAACGGATGTTCACTTTTTGACTATTCAACAAAAAAGATATTTTATACACGAAAAGCACACCAGGGTGCGAACAACTAAATTTTATGGGTGTCAAAGTTACTCCAGAGAAGAAATTGATGTCCTATCTGGGTTTAACGTCGAAAATAAGAATGAATCGAGAATAAAATGGCGGCCATTTTATTTCATCTTATTTAGAAAATAGACCACGTGACCAGATATTATACTGTTAAAAATACTGTTACCTATGTAACGGTACAAAATTCTTAGTCACGTGGTACACTTGCATTAACAGTAAAAATAACTCCCAGAGGCCTATGGGAAATTAGCATTACGAAAAAAGTGAGGGGTAATAACAAAAACTGTTAATAGTGGGATAGAAATATGAAAAGAACAAAACAATTACATGATGAAATAAAATAGAAAATAAAACACAATATATTCAATAAGAATATTTTAACAATGTTTCTTCTAGAAAACAAATTTGATTTCCACACTGTTTTAGTTTTAGATATTTTAAAAGAAATTGTTAAAATATGACAGTCAGAGTCACAATTGACTAGCTCTTTTATTGAATATTTCTGGAATAACTTTAAATATATTTCTTTTAAGATAAGCACTGTATTTCCTTGCACAAGAATGCAGTACCTTCTTCGGTTCCTGTAAAGTGTAAAATGTACTTAACCTTCTGTAGTGATGCAATAACGCTACTTCTGGCTCAAAAGTGTATTCACCACCATTGTGAATCTCCCATGCATAATGGACACCCATCACAATTACTTCGCTTGTTTTGCATATGTACTTGGATCTTACATGACGTCGTAAAATTATATTGTCTCGTACGTTGTAGGAATCAATTGTCATTCCATGTTTACATAATTGTTGTTTAGAGCAGCTAAAAAACGAGCTTCGGACTATGTACACGCTATAAAGCGGAAGATCATCCATCATATCGGACCACGTGAAGTGCTCCGGTTTTTGTGGAATGATAAACTCATCTAAGTCGGTGGATGACAGATAAATACTTTTGCCCTTGTTTCTATAAAGGCAGTCATTAAGTGCAGCAAGCTGTCCATAATAATGCACATCATCCTCTAAATATTTTGGAATTTTCCAAATTATTAATTGTACAATTTCTTTGCGCTTGTAATATTCTAGAACTCTTGATACATTTTGCGAAATACTGTTTATATAAAACATAAATCTTTCTACTCCGAGAAGCCAATTGAGTTCAATCCATTCTATAAGCTGTGTCGTATCATTGAACATTGAATGTAACGGTGAAACACACATACTAAACTTGAGCTTCGGAAAATGTTGAGTAGTTTTTACAACTGTAACTTCATGAGGAAGATGTAGTAATGATTTCTCGTAATAGAACGAAACTGCATCCGGAGCATCGGTCCCCGTCATATTGCATAGAATGAACATTGCGGTGTACCTGGCATAAATAAAGCACAGCGTGATATACATATCCATTATATTATTACTGCCCTGCCATGCAAGTTTTTGGCAAATTCAATCTAAAATTTTGCGCTTTAAAGAAAGAAACTATATATTTTCTTGAGATTGATAGAGATTAAAATGTTAATGTGAATCGTCTTTCTATCATTTCCATTTATTTACTTTTATTGTTTTTGTAGAAATGCATGGATGTTTTTGCCATGGCAAGTTTAAATTTGACCATACCAAATTATTTTTCAATTTGAAAATACCTTTCCATTCAACCATGACAACTATTTTTTTGTTAATTTGTCATGGCCAACTTTAAAAAAATCACAAGAATCGAAATGATTTTTTAACATGCTTATAAGTGCCCATTGCTTTTTTTATTTTCGATTGTCTATGACAGTCCTTTGCAAAACTTTGTAACGGCAATAAATATGATTTTCATCATCAATATAAATAGGATCATCATCCCTGTCGGTGTGATCGTCATCATCATCTTCACCCAACTCATCATCACTTGTCTCTAACTGATGATTCAGAATTCACGTTGGAGTAATAGTCAATCACTTGTGCAGAACTTTGTTTAACATGCTATCTAAAGAAGAAAATCAATTTAGTTGACTGACCAACATGTGTTCAAATCGATGTAAAAGAACATGTAAAACACAAACAAACAACGAACAATCATCCTAAGACAATTGTCATTACTATCCAAATCTGTATTTAACAATCATAACCATCATTATCCAGATACCAACTATGATAGTGTCATTCCTAATATCAATAAAGACTATATTATTTTCTACACCATAAAGTGTAAATCCTAATATCAATGAAGACGATATTATCTTCTACACCATCATCATTAGCCTCATCAACATATTTTCTATATTCTTTCAAATCATAATAGTCATCATCACTATTGCAATAAACGTTATCATTATCAACATTATTATAATAATCATCAACATCACCATTATTCCCACAATCATCATCACAACATCGTTATCTCAATTTACATCACATACATCAACATCGTTACCATAACTGTACACGTTCCATTTCGTTATCATCTTCTACTTAAAGAGGGGCATAATTTTTTTATCTTCCGATTTGATAAGACTCATAATTGTTACAAGTACCATTATTTTACATTATCTTCTGATCGAGTGTATGCCGTTAACATTTTTACGTGAACAGTTTCGATAGTGTATTCAGTTAGCTGCTGAGGGAGCGTTTTTTTTGTTATCTAAATACTGCAATATACTCATTTTATTTGCTTCTTACGCGCATGTACCAGTTTATATACCAAGAGCACAGAACTAACTATTGCTATGAATAGTAATGTGGTATAAAATAGTATTCTTGTTTGGCATAAAGCTGGTCTGTTTTGTCCCTAAAAATGATCCTTTATGTCAGAATGAATAGGCTTCTTCCATCTTAATTATAGAATAAAGTATTTTGAATATGGAAAATAAATAACACACGTATCAAGTCGTCTGTAAATTACAAGTTGGTATGCATTAAGTTTTTAGGTCTTAAAATAACATTTTAAACACATTTAAAGTGAGTTTACGGATATAAACTCAAAATAACTTTATAATTTTTAATCATTGTTTCTAATATTCTTCTTCACATTTATAATAAAAACCACACGTGTCTCACGTAAAGTACTATTAAGGCAATTTGTATATTTAATATATCAATGATTTTCAACTATTTGTGAATGACCATTACAAAAGACAATTTTTCGTAAGGGCGTCGCTTCAAGGCAAAGAAAGCGACCGCTGAGGCAGTCCTGGACATGAAACGATAATAAGAAAGGATCTTCGACACGAACAGCAAATAACTGTTACTTATGTCCAAGTCGAATTTGACATTAAGTCCTTCCACAGTCTTAATGATATAGAAAATGAGCTGATAAAAGCGAATAAAATTAATACATTCCAATTGCCTAATGCCGAATATTAAGCCGCCTATAAAATAAGTACAAATTATAAACACTTAATTAATGTGAATCTGTTTAACCTCTTAACAAGGAGTCCAACAATCTTTTTCAATTACTCACATGATGATATTGTGATTATTGTTTTTTTCTGCTGTTGTGACTATTGTACCAACTTGCCTAAATTCCATTATTACATTTATTGGTTTGTTACCTCTTTGCCGATTAGTTAATCGTAAACAAATATGCACTATTGTGTTTAAAGGAATATTTTATTTTCTTATAAATAAGTAAACAACAAGAACTAATTAGAATTATCTTTGTATCTGTAACAATATTTAGACATTACGAACATATCTTTACTATTCGTAAAATATAACAGTTTGTCCCGTTAATCACTCGGACATAATGTAATTCGCACAAATATTTCGAACTAAAATGTCTTGTTGATTGATTTTATAACATTTTATAAACGATAATCAGACATGACTCCATTTGATGATAAAATACAGATGAAAGCTGCGGACAGCCAGTGTCTGTCCCGCTGCCAAAAAAGAACAAATGGACCATATAATAAAGAGGCACGTTACTGTTATAAAAATGATTCAAAAGTTTGATAGAATCATTTTCTTTCATTTGCGACCAATCAAATGACGAAAAACATATAAATAATTATATATCAAACCATCCACTATATGTTTACAGATTGTTTTAACTGAATCATCGGTGAATAAGTTACTGATGATTATCATTTTCTATACAAAATTACCCATGGCAAATTAAGTTGCCGTGGCAAATGCAAACTTTGTTCATATTTTGGAAAAAAAGAACGATAGAAAAACGAAAAACATCAACTTTTAAACCTATCAAATAATGTCAGAATTTTAGACGGATTTAATTTCTGTTAAAGCGCCTAAAATTTGGGTTGAATTTGCCAACTACTGGTATGTCAAAAAGAAATCGTGTCATTAGTGGCATATCATAAGGTAACAAATATATAGCAATAGGTATGCATACTTATAAGGTACACGTATAAGTCTAGTCAATTACATTCATTGATAAATAATTTCAGTTTCACAAATAGCCTAACTTTTTTACCCCAGAGATGTGTCGTTCATTTACTAGGAGTCTCATATTTTGTTAATGATGTCATTTCATGAAAAATATCTTTGTTGAGCTGTTTCAAAAATATTTCTTTTCACATAGACCTCATCAATATAATTTTCCATGACTTCGCTCCTAAGTAAATTTTTACAGCCTCATTAAAGGCTCGCTCAAATAGTAAAGGCAAAAATGAATTAAGCTGCTGCATTTTACAAAATCATTGTATGAAATTTGTTTAAAAAAAACTTTAAAAGTTTTGGTTTATTTCTTTTTTTTACCTCTTTCTGTGATGTTCGGGTATACGTTTAATTTTCCCATCGGTGAACAGAAATGTATTAGTATGTTTATAATGAAGGATACACCGCACATTGGAGTTGTTTCTCAGTCTTGTTATACCAATCACTCGCAAAATGTATGGCCTAAAAGCGTTGAGAAAAATAAATATCTAGAGAAAAGTGATCACATTACTCGGAAGCATTACAAACAGCAAAATTACATAAAAGTTGCATGCATACTCGGTATGATGGAGTCTGTACATGACGGATACTGTAAACACTCACAAGACCTGCACCGCCGGTTTAAGTTGTACTTAATCTAAAACACTTAAAACAGCGGAAATCAATATTGATCCCTTGTTGCCTTGTCTATACAAAAGTTTTAATCGACAGTTTACTTTTGTACTATATTATCAACAATTGCACCGAGATACTTTACTGATGGCTGAGATTGTATGGTGTGATTATTACAGTGTATTTTAAACTGCTCAAGTTTTGACAATTTCCTCTTAGAACTAAAAACAATACACTCTGTTTTACCAAGATGTAATGATAGCTTATTATCAACAAGCCATTTACTACAATTTTCTAGTTCCTTACCCTAAACATTACAAATTACATCTGACTCTTTATGTGAATATAAAATTGCACTATAATCTGCATAAAGAATAAGCTTACATTTATTGCTAATACTAATACTCATATCATTGACATAACATAGAAACAATAGAGGACCTATTGTACTTCCCTGAGGAACATCACATGTAATATTCATAGCTTCAGACAAAGTATTATTTACATTTACAATTTGACTACGACCAGTTAAATAAGAATGAAACCATTCTACTGACTCCACACCCATATTGTGTAACTTTTTACACAATATGTCGTGGTCCACAGTGTCAAACGCCTTTTGCAAATCTAACAAATCTGAGTTTTTACATGGTCAGTGAGATGGATAAGGTAGGAGGCAGTAGAATAATTACATCTAAAACCACTATGTTATTCCTATAAAAGTCTCTGCTAAACTAAACAAATTTCTAACTGATTATATATAGTTCTTTCTAAGATTTTTGAAACAATAGATAAAACACTGACAGGTCTATAGTTGGATACATCAGATCTGTTATTCTTTTTGAATAATGGTTTGACTTAAGCACATTTCAATTCACTTGGAACTGATTTAGATGTATTTGAATCATTCACTTAAAAGATAATATATATCTTTAAATATGGTGCAGCATCTTAAAGAAATTTTGCTGGAATTTCATCTAATCCTGTGCTTTAAGAACAATTAATTTACAAAGCTCTTTATATATATATATATATATATATATATATATATATATATATATTATATATATATATATATATATATATATATATATATATATATTCTTCACTAACACAGTTTGTAATTGAAATATATTTCCATCTTTATTTCTGTAATTTATCCACCAAAACAGAAGCAACAGTAATAAAAAACTGATTAAAATGACAAGCAATATTTTATTAGTTCAAAACAATTTTCATCATCTATGTTTAGTACAATATTTGATGAAGATTTTTTTACTGTAATCAAGCTCTTTTAATTGAGACCACAATTTCTTTGGATTATATTTATGTTCTTGTAATTGATGTGAGATGTATCCAGACTTAGCTTTTTTATCTGTCTTTGTATTAAGTTTCTATAAAGACAGTATTTATTATACATATCTTTCTGATTATGTTTTCTAAATTCATGTAAAAAAAATCTCTCATATTAATTAATTCTAATATGTTAGAGTCCAACCAAGGTTCACTCCTTTGTTTAAGTCTTACTTCTTTTACTGGAGCCACAACATTAAAAACTGATAGAAACATATCTTTAAAAAATAGCCATGACTCATCAACAGATGTGGCCGTAAAATTACTCGACCAGTCACAAAGTTTAAGATTATGTATAAAAATTTCAGCAGAGTAGTTTTTCATTGATCTAATAACAATATTTTTGTGTTTATTAAAAATGCCTTTTGTGATTTTCATGTACAGTATACAGGTAGGTGGTCACTTAGACCAATAGGTAAAGTACCTGACTGGAAAACCTTATCAAAATGACAACATAATATGTGATCTATTAACGTTTTTGTATTTATTGTAATACTAGTAGGATCTTTTATAATCTGTGTAAAATTAAAGATTTTAAGAACACATTATTTTATATTTTTAAATAAAGAAGATGTTTTGTCCAACCAATCAATATTTAGATCACCTAAGAAAAAAAATCAGTGTCCGATCTTATTTTAGACAAAACTGTTTCAAACATATCTAAAAAGTCAACTTAAGATTGTTTTGGAGGTCTATAACATGAATTTATTAAAATTGGTTTAGTTTTAGGAAGTAATAAGTCAGCCCAAACAATTTCCAAGTGTTAAGTTTCGATCCTTCCTTATCATATTGTAGCCCTGTATTCCCAATTCGTTGTCTGTTACACTGTTATCAAGCCATGACTTTTAGCTATTGAAGAAAATTTTAACTTTGTTGCTATTTGCCTAAGTTCCGACATGTTGATAAAAGAGAGCACTCATTAAAATGAAGAAAATGAAGGCATTTACGTTCAAAACATTTGATATTTTCACAAGAATCCCTCAGTGTAGAAGTCATGTTTCAAATTACGCTGTTATGAAATGCATACATTATTAATTCAAACGAAGACAATTTGAATAATCTACTAGATACACAATTAATAACTTCACTCAGTAAAATGTATTAATATACCGGATGATACGGAATTCCTTATATCATTAACGAAGAGATAAATGTACAGGATTTGTAAAATACGGATAGTTTTAGGGCCATATATTATGCTAAAATGGACAAAAACATAATCCCTAAACAAAGCTCAACACGAAAAAACAGATAATGTTCGGTTTTGAGCCTGTTCATAGACTGTATTGGCAATAGCAAGCTACCGTTTACTTCCAGCAGCGGTGGTAGAATTCAACATTTAAACATAAAACTGGTGATTTTCTAATTAAAGAAACATCAAAACATGTGTTCATTTCGCAATGTTCACGGAACCTTCAATGTGACAGTTTTGTTTTATTCAATATTAAGCGGCGTAAGGTCCATGTCCAGAAGGAAAGAAAATGTGTGTACCTTAAATGACATAAACGTTCATCTCTACCTATGACAATGTATCAACCCATTTCTTTAAAAACAAGAACAGAACACATAGCCTTAAGGAAGATAAACTTTTTTTAATTAGAAAGAAATCCAGTTCAGCAGGTACATAATTTTCAATCTTTAATTATATTGTGGCCGGCAGGGTACCTTAAAAGACACGAGAAATTTAATCGTCACTTTATAAGATGCTGCGGGCAACATTTATATCTACCGGACTTTATGTCAAAATTGTATACAATTTTGCGGCTTACTGAAACTCTTGAGTTTTTCTGTCACACATCTTTTGTAATAAAAATCTGGAAACAAAGTGATCCCTCGGAAGCATTAATCACAACAAAATTACATAAAAATTGCAGACTCGGTTTGATTGAGTCTATACATGAGGGAAAATGAATAAATGCAACATCCCTCACGCCCCTAGCACTGGCTTGAGCGGTACTCGGTTCTCAACACTTAATAGTGCTGGCATCAATGACCCCGAAGGACCAGAAAAATATAACAACACTGAAGTGTGTTACTAAGGAAATCGCGATATTTTCTGTTTACATTGTAGCTTAAAAAGAGAGTAATAAAGAATCCCCAATGAAAGTCAAACAATCGTAAATATTGAAGGCTAGGTTTGATTTAGCCTGTTCATGTACGGTGATGGAAAGTGCAAGTTACCGTCTTGCACCGGCATAATTCAACATTTTACATAAACTGGTAAAATTTGGAATTTTGAAACAGCCGAGATGTGTTCATAAGGCGGTTATCATTGAACCTTAAATGTGACACGTTAGTATCATTCCACTAAAAGCGGCATTTGGTCCCCAAGCAAAATAATGCCTATGACTAAACGAGAAAACAATGGGCGGAACTAAATAAAATTGAATTTGAAAGGGGATCAGAGGTTATGAAGCCTGAAAATTATAGATAAGACGTCAAAAGACAATTTTTTAAAAGCAGACAATACATCCTTAGGGCGATAATACAGTATTCAAGTGGGAATACTGTAACACTTGAATGAAAAACAGTCAAAAACAGTAACCAATAATAACATAAGCATAACGAAAATGACGCAAATATGTGCCTTCTTTAGGTAGCCTATTGGGCATATTAAATCTGCGATACTATGTTTGGGCGCATACTTTGTACAAAGTTGAGTTTGAGTATCAGTCAATGACGGTTTATGCTGGCGAATGCATCTACGCTAAAAGTCGCGGCTAAAAATTGTTATAAGCCGTTGCGATATTTTGTGAGACCGTTGTTGAAAAACAAAATGTCTTCGACTATAATTTTTCTCCTCGATTTCTTTAAAGAATTTCTACGACACTCAGAAAATGTAGCGAATTTCTTTCTGTTCCTCGATATTTTTTTAACAAGCGAGGGATAAAATGTAGTCAAATAATGAACGCTACCGGCCATTGGAGTCAAAATGTACCTTGTTGTTTCCAACAATTGTTATTATATAAAATATCGAGGGTTATACGTTTCCCGCCACATTTTGTACATTTTGCAGGCAATCTAGGGGTTCGTAAGTTGCCTGCGACATTTAATGATAAAACGGTACAATTTCCAGGGCGTTTGAAATGGACGCAACTGGCCACAATAAAATTATGATTAAAATAAAAAACACATTGTATATCTTTTTTATTTAGTAGAAGTTTGTTGGGTAGGATTTTCTTAACTATAATCATATCTTTTAACATGAGCCCTACAAATTACAACAAAAATTAAAAGTGACATTGTCCATGTTAATAACAAGATTTTAAGTATAAAAAATAATGACGACATTTAATAATTCTGACAATTCAAATTATAGTATCAGAAACAATGTTATATCATATGCAAACATGGTCAATAATGTTTAAAGAGTATCACTTTACAGTTGATCACCAAAAGCAAAAATTGTACTTTAATACAAATCAAAATTAAAACAAAAAGGATTATTGCCGTAAATATATAAAATAAACATGTATGACTTATTTCTTTGATTACCCCCCCCCCCATTCCCCCGGTCCCCTTCCCCTTTGTGGGCCTATTATTATTTTCTTTGAATTCCTAATCAGTTACAAATTATTTATCATTTAATGATTAACATGTCCGTGCTCTGTCTTTGCCCTGTCCTGTTTTTTGTTTGGGGTCCGCCTGGGCTCCTTGCCATTGGTTCTTGTTGCTGGGTCATATGGGGGTTGCATTCATTGAACGCCGCCTTTCCTTGTTGATCTTGTTTATCATATTTTAAAAAGGTAAAGTAATGCTCAAAATTCAAAACACTATAGGTGGGGTCACGGCATGAGCATATTGTGACATCTCATTTAGAAAAATCGGCTTTTTTAAGAAACGACAAAATTTACTTGACCTGTGAAAAAGAACTCTGCTTTCCAAACATAGTTTATTCATTCCTTTATTCAAGTCAGACATTTTTAGTACAAATTTTACAGTCTTTGATAAATTTCTGTTAATACAGTATAATTATAAAAAATTAACAAAGTATGTTTTCAAACTTTGAAATAATGCTTGAATTGTTGCTTTGTACCTAATATATGAATAAATTCGTGAACTATTATTATGAAGATGGAAATCATGCCTTATATATCAATGTTCTTTCGATAAGATCGCACGAAACATAATAAATATCATATGGTTAGAATAAATAACTCAGTAAACACGCTTTATTTGTAGCGTACTTGATTATTTTTTGTAATTTTATTGTATAATTTTGCTTTTTTATATTGTATTATAAAAGGAAACAATTTCAATTCGAACTGAATTTATTTTTTAGGATGTTATTTTCGTTTTTCTTTCTATTTTTTTTTATAAATTATAATAAAAAAAATTAATCTTATTATTTGCGTGTTTACGTGTTAACTGTTCATCATTATGCAATATGATAGAATGCCATTATGTATATGATCTGATTCACATATATGTACATGATTTGATTGATATGTACATTATAATTGAACTGTTTATGTTATACATGTATGGTATGATGGAGATGTCCCCAACCCTTTAAGACCTATTACGGGAAAAATAAACGGGGGAAACTCGATTAAAATACTTTGTTAAATGGAAACATGCTAAATGTATCAACTTTCTCTTGATAAGACTGCACTAAACATTAAGAATATATGGCGAGAATAAATATCTCAGTTAACACGCTTTATTTGGAGCGTACATATGTTTTTAATGTCGTTGTAAACTTTTGCTTTTATATTATGTTAAACAAATTATTATATACTTGAAATATGTTCATGTAATAACAGAAACAGCAAAAACAACAACAACAACAACAACAACAAAATAATGATAATGATAATAATAATTATAATAATAATAATTTTTTTGTTACCTGTATTACTTCAAATACTCCAAGTGTTAACTGAAAGTTCTAATTCTAGTTCCCATTCATAAACCTTTATGAAACATATTATATATCTTTGAAAGACAATATATAGTAGGTCCGACTATCACTTTATATGGGTTGAATCTAACTTACATGCATGGCGACAGATGTACTATATACTAAATTAATCTAATACCTTTTGTTTACTCAGAATGCGTGTTCCTATATAATGTGTATGTTTCGTACAAAATACAAAAAAAACAACCAAATAAACAAACAATCAAACAGTTCTAGATCATTTTTGTTATCTTGTTATCGTTTGTGTATCTCGGAAATAAGTTCAAACAAATGCACTGTAAATGTATGATCAAAAACCTTTTTAGGTATACCTGGTGGTCCCTACACATACAACAAATACTGTACGCGCCCACAAAAGTTGTTTATCTACTAGACTGTATTTTCATGTATTCTTTTCAGTCTATAAAGCATGCTTATTTTTTTAGTTTAAAATTGTACACACTTAACATGTTGATAAACATAGCATAAGTGCATAGCAAATTGCCTTAAAAGGTTATGCACTTTTTCATGCACAGTGTGTGAACTATTTCAGTTTGATTAGATATTTTCAATAAACATTTTCTGAATTTCAAGAAAAATTTACATTTAAATTATTGTCCTTTAAGATGTGTACACTATAAACAATGCATATCCAGTCCAGCTGGAGAATGTTTCTCTCTTTTTTTAATTTCTATAATAAACATTCATTGAAACAGGTGCAAATCAGTGGAAACAAATTATGCCTATGTAATACGAAACATTTTAATATTTACACCCACCTTGTTTCGAGGTAAGCCGAGTATACTAATATCGCATTGTCTGTTGCTATGCTTTTAAAACAGCTTTTGCTGTCAACTTCAGTTAAAATTGCATTTTTCACTAATGTTAACATCGTTTCTTTTGCTAAGATCCTGGAAGTATTTGTAACAGGAATGTTTTTATACCTAATAATATTGAAATTTGAAAAGCTTACAATTGTGTACGCTATAATCAAAACAATCATTAGTTTAAATACAAATTTCTTCCACATTTCAACTGAAATTGCTTAAAATCGAAATAATATTCCTAAGTCGTGTAAACAATTAAAGAGTATAACGCTAATCTGAAAAAATAGAACGCATTTTACAGTTGGTACTTAAACAGATATAATCTTAGAGACTGTTATTGGAATGAAGCAGAGAACATAAAGGAACGCATCGTACTTTAAAAATGTTTTAGTCCTCCATACTTGTTTTTGTTTTGCTTTAATATGATTCTTGAAATGTTTTTCATTACTTTGGTTGGTTGATATGTTTAGTTTTATTACAGATCAAAATAAAACCTTGACTGTACAAATTGTCAATGTAAATAACAAAACAGAATAAAACGCTGTGACACATGAAATTTAAGGTAATTTGCAAATTCAAGGTCACAAAAGATAATGAAATGTTCAGATTCGTCTGGGGCATTTGTCATACATGCATGGAAGAATGTGTGTAATACTTAATAAAATGTTGACCATGTTGGTATGCTCCATTTATGATCAAGGTCTCTACTTAGAATGTCAAGGTCGCACTGAAAGGTAATAAAAAAACGTGTCCGGGGTAAAACGTCTATATTCACTGGGCGACTTCATTATAACTTAGCACAACATGATGGGATGGATTGTCGCACGCACGATTCGAATCCCTGCGAGAAAGGCAAAGGGATGTAGACTGGTGTAACGTTTAGACATTTTTTATAATATGCATGTTTTGAAAAAAATATTATCGTTCACTGAAATGATTTAAGAGTTTCTTAACTATTAGGCAATTTGTTTTTATTGCGACAATATAGTTTAGTTTACGGTACTTTCAACATATGTTTGGTATACGTATTTTCAATAAACGTTTGATATCAAGAAATGCAATGAACGTCTCAGTGATCAGGATTACTTTAATCAGCCAATAAAAGTTAAGTCATGCTTGAGCGATCATCTCACTCATAATTGCCCTGATCTCCACCTTGAGCGTTTTGGACGGGCGTTTTTGTTATCCTTGTGATTGAATGATATTCATGTAAAGTTTTAAATACGGATTTTCGAGTAGATGATAACTTTTCATATACATATTTATTGTGCGCACCTTCTTGCAGATTTGTTATTGCATTTTTCTGAAGGTTAATGCTTGAAAAACCTTTTTTATCTTATACTTAACAAGAAGTTTAAGAATTACTTAAGAATATACTATGATATTTTCGTAAAAGGAAGTACATTCCTAACCAAAATAATAGATAGGCGATCTGTTACTCTTTACAACAAAAGAGGAAACAACCGCACCAAACGAATGTTTTCAAGATATAGAGGTTTTCGTCGATGTTTCTTCTAGAACCTTGATTTTTTATTGATGTTACGATTCATCTAGTAGTACCATTGAGATATAGAGGATATTTGTTTAGTTCAGTGTAAGATCGGAATATATTTCACCGAGTGAGCACCAAAAGGTATATTTCACGAGTGGCGCAGCCACGAGTGAAATATGAACTTTTGGTGTTCACAAGGTGAAATATATTTTGATCTTATACTAAACTAAACAAATTTTCTTTTTATTATATGCAAAGAAACGTTTTAAAAGGACATAACACCTAATATTGAATTAAAAGCGCGCCAAATAATAATACAACGTGTCGTCATTTACGACGTCACGGTACCCAGTACTGTGCACACTGACATTTCACTGAAACAACGTAATGGGCTTAAACTCAAAACAGTGAAATTATCAAAGTGGTAATTTCACTGTTTCAAACAGTGAAATTACCAGTTTTAAATCACTGATATATTTCTATAAACCATCGAAAAGCATGTAATAATTTATAATAATTTTATTATACTAAATAATGTAAAATTTATAGTTATATATCGATGTCCCGTGTTTGCCTCCAAGCGTGATATATTTAAGATGTTGATGATAAAATTATACAAAATTGAACTACCCCAGTAAATAAAATACTTTTTGGCGCCGCTTTTTTTTACCTTTTCACTAAATGTACAGTACAAAATTGAATAAATGGAATAAAATAAATATGAATACAAAACTTTAAACTATAAATAGTCCTGAGGAAACATGTTTTTATTAAAATTAAATATATCTTGGCAAATGTTAAAAAGTTTTACTACAGACTATCGAATATTTTAAAGATTTAAATGAGAAAGGGCGAACATTCTTCTCTGTTTATAATAATTTGCTTGATAGACTTGAGTCTTTATCACAACACAACAAAATGCATAATGAAATTCAAATTTCCTTTTCAAATTATAATTTTAGTCGGCCTTTTTACTAAGATGCTAAATTGCGTATACATGATTATGTTGATCTATCCAATTTTTATAGAATAGATAAAAATGTGTAAGACAAGGTTGTCCTTTATTTCTTTATCTAACAATTACTTGTATTGACCAACTGTCAAATGAAGGTTTAGCTTAAATAAAAATATTTATGACATTAAGATCTGTAACACAATTTACAAAAGAGCACTTATACCCGACGATGCATTTTTTGTTTATTATTTGCGGAGTTAAAAGTAGTTTTAAAACTATTTGCAACAAATTTTTCCCTTCAAACATATCAAATCAGTAGTTTGACGAAAATAAAAGTACTGTACTTAAACCAGTAGTAAATTTTAAGAAATAATTAAAAAAATCTGAAATGGCAAATAAATGTAGCTTGACATCTGCACGCTTGGTATAGCATTCATCAATAACACTACGAAATGCTTTATGCTAATTAACACTTTAACGAATAGTGTTTGCATGGAAACGATGCAAACTATGTCTCCTTGGGGAGAACAACTGTTCTTAAAACCTTTTAATGTCGAAACTTATTTATCTTTTTGCAGCGTTTTATTATCAATACAAAAACACATTAATAACATAAAATGTTCATGTTTAACTTTCTGTGCAATGAGTCAGACAAAATATTATTAACGTTATTGGGGAAGAGTCTTAAAACGTCAGAAAATGAAAGTAAAAGATACTCCTTTATATGTTCTTGGGTGAAACGCATTAAATTACAGCGGCAAACGAAATAAATTATAGTATATAAAAATGTGTTCAATAAATATGGCAAACAATTAACATTTAAATGTTATCTAAGCATAAAATGTATTGTCCATCTTGATATTTAATCTTAATATTTCAAATACGTACTCGCTGTTTTGTCGTATTCAAACTTCAATAAAGAAATACTTGATGTTGTAAAAGAATTAATACGGCACAACACGAATTTAAATCAAAATGATAAACCATATGTTTTCCTCGAATGAATCGATAAAAGGTTCTTGGAGTGAATCGAAAAAAGGTTCACCGAACAAATATACGATTAAAGGAGTAAAAATAAATGTTACACAATCCAAAACCTTTATAGCATACTATAATTTCATCTTATAATAATTTAAACTTATGAAAAAAATAAACATCAACAATTAAATCTAAATTGATTCAATACAAAGACAATAACTAATTATTTAATGAATTTTAACCCCAAATTAAAACCTGCCGATTTACTTATACAATGTTGTTTTTTTTTCAAATGAAGGCATCAAAATTAATAATATCATATAATAACTCTGAACTTAATAGTTCTTACTCTTCATATTAGAAAATAAATGCTGGAAAACTGTACAAACCTTTGATGATTTTTTGAATTACCTTAAATATAAACTTAATTTAGAAAGACTCATTGCAAAAAAAAGGTTGCTGTCCACATTAGCGAGTTGAGCAAATTCACATTATGATTTACACGTTACTGACATGAGTCGATTTAGTATTATTTTCACATTCTATTTAGACTGTTTAACGTTTCTTTTTTTTTGAGAAATGAAATCATATCAATCAATATTCTAAAACATATATCATGCTCTAGATTACCTTTTTCTCTTACAATCTTTATAAGCATAATAGTTAATCAGTTTAACTTTTCTTAAAACGTTTTGTTCTGATGCAAAAATTATTTTTTCTCACAATTAATATATCTTAAACATGTTTATTTCTTCATAAGATATGGACAGTGTATTTATCTTTACGAATTAGATAATAAAGAAATTACAACCAAGTTTCAGTCAGAGATTATCTATGTTGAACAAAAACTTTTTGTCTTTACTTGAGTAGACGTGTGATTTAGCTCTCATTTTGCTGTTAAAGACTAACAGTTGTGTACAAGGATAATGTAATTACTAGTGCTGGAATATATAACGTCAATATTTAGGTATACACAACGTCAGAGAGATTCTATGCGTGAAAACTATTTTTACAGAAGTGTTGAATATTGCCTATCTAACTTAATGAATACCTGCCCCGCAGTGGCTAACATTTGTTATCCATTCGATGCGGCTGCATTTAAAGGAATCATTTTCCTTTTAAAAATCATATTAACAAGACGCATTTTATGTGACAAAGAAAAGAGCAAATAACCAGTCATTTAGGAGCATCATTACCGTTAATTCTTGACCAGCCCTCGTACAAAGCAAAAGCTTTGTTGTTTTTTTTTCTAATTTTATTGCTTTTACAACTGTTTTAGAGTAGTTTATGCCAATCGTGAAATTTACGGTAAAGTTATTATTTATTGTCTTTAATTATATTTATAAATGTTTTACTAAAAAAAGATATTATCCACGTTAAGACAGACTGCATGCAAGGTGTTAAAACACTTTTCTTTTTCTTATGTCTTAATTTTTGTCGGCCCTCGAATTAAGATGTTTTTGCTGTCTTCCTTCTGTTAGTCATTGGCCTATTAGGTTTGCTTCTTTATATGTATTTATTCAATTATATATGATTTGATTTCTTTATGTTACCTTTGGTTACAATAGCAGAACAGAATTTGACTAAACAAGGAAACTCTTTGTTTACACTGGTTCAGCATACTCGAACATGTTGGGCTAAGAGGGATGAAAAGTGCATCTTTGAGCAGTTTGAATTTTTCCAGTATCGTTTTAAATGTTGTCTTTGCAAAGGCCATCCCTATATATGTGTTTTCCACAATTATATGTATTGTTGTAAATCGCGTAATCCGTCAGTAAGGTTTCCGTTTGATTATTGGATCATTTTCCCCTTAATCAATCTATCCATCCCCAATACCCCTCAAATCCCTCAAATTAAAAACAAATAATTTTAGCATATTTTGGGGCCCCCTTACTTTCCCGCTTTTGTCTCTTGTTTGCTTTGACGAACCACGAATGTATTTAATTTTACAAGGTTTTCAAATTTTGATATGTTTTAAGCACTTATTGTAAAAAGGTGTAAATGTGCGTGTTGGCGGGGATTAGGGAAAACGAACTTTACATGCACTACAAACACGTGCATGTGCAAATACTGGCAGAAGTAGTCGTTGATAGTCTCATTGGTCTGTACACTTTTCAAGATTGGTTTATTTGGCAGCTTTTGTTTTCAATAGATCATGAATGGAAATATATCACGCATGTTCTATAGCGACAAATATAATGGTATCTAAGAGCTACATAAAAAAATGGTGACTATGGTCTCAACGGTTCATGTCGTTAATAAATTAATAGCGTTGGTTGACGTTTTTTACTAAAAACGTGACATGTATACCAGACGACTCTCTGTTCATATTTTCAATTAATTTAATGTGTTGCGAGCTAAAGGCAACAGACAAGATAACGCAGCAACAAATTTTAAAAATTTTAATTTAAGACAAACAGTAATTTACAATATTACAAAAAAAAATGAAAGTAAAGTTTAACTCACAAATATCCACGATTAGATTTTAACAAATGTCGTAAAGTTTAACTCACAGTGCGAAATTCAATGTGTCCACATCTCAAATTTAATCCATGTCCAATGTCCACAGCAGAATATCAGAATATGTCCAAATCACTTCACACACAAAATTACAGAATCCAAACTTATATATTCCTATGTTAGCAGTACAAGAACACTCAATCATTATATCAACATCACACAATAGCACAAATTAGCACATATATATGTTCATTCTGGAATATTCTATATATATAGTGGCAATAGTAGGTATCGAACCCACGACATCGATATTATCATTTCTGCGCTCTACCTACTGAGCTATTCAGGAAACAGATACTAATTTCATTTATAATTAAGCCTATATACATTACAAATGCTACTCGGTCTCGATGGTTATAAGAACATTTTCCTAAGAGAAACCACATTTCTCTTGGCTGCCCGACAGGAAGGCGAATGTTAACGAAGTAAAGTGATAAAAACAAACCTATTGATATGTTTATTTAGTTTGAATGAAAAAAAAATGACGTCAATAAAGTCAATAAAAAAGAACGCTATTCTTAATGTCATTATAATTTTCTTGCTCAAATATACATAATGGCATTTGCTTATACTACATCTTGTATCAGATAATATATGATATTTGAATAATATCTAAATATTTTGGTACTGTTTGTTATCAGCTAAAACATGTTTCAACCGCTTATACTTTACAATATATTTTGTAACAAGCACACTATTTAACTGGGTTTGTCCATCTAAAAATAAATATAAGGCTATTTTATAAAGTCAGCAATCTTTCTGTTAAAGAACAGACATTTACCAAATAATGTACATGTTTACTCGACATAAAAGCTTTATCAGCTCACAAAAATGTTTTACTGTTAATTATCTGGTTGAGAAAAAATATAAAAATTTCTTAAGTAGCTTTGATGTCAAAGCCGGCATTTAATTTTTGTTTACATCTCACTAATTATTTTAATCATATAAAAATGACATAATATTATTCAAGCATTTCTTCTTGATGGGTGGTAACCAATTGCAAAAGGTATCAGAACTAATAATTCGCGCATGCCCAACATAATTTGTTTAAATACCCGTCATTTTTTCTTTATTTTTAAAGTGAAAAGAAATTATAAGATAAGCTATTCTTTTGCTATGACATATCAACATTAGGATATACCTATCCAGTTTGGTGGGTAATAATCATTGCGATTCATTCCAGAAGCTAATACGCTACCATGCCTTGGAAATTGGTCAAAGAAAACAGTTGTTCCCCCAGAAAGCAACGCACCCCACCATCCAAATGTCCCAGAAGTAACTACGACATCATCGCATAATATCATTAAAGCAAGGTCTTCAGCCGGACTGCTTAGATTGCTAACATACGCTGTTTTAATATTATTTCTACACCAAGCTTTGTCATCACTTATTACAATGAATTGTACTTTTGAATATTTGTATTTGTAAAACTGTTTCGCTTTTTCTATAAACTCTAGGCCGGCAACAGTATAACCTTTCTTTTGGTGAGCTGCAGATGTCATATCCCCACGACGGACGTGAATACAAACACTTTTATATCCATTAAACGAAACGCGAGATAGAAATTTTTGAGCACTTATCGAATATTTAGGTTTTATTTTAAAAACAATTTTAATGAGGTCAAGACATCTATAGAAATATTTCCATGACTGGAGAAATCCATACAATGATATATTTTTTCCTGTCTCAATTTCATGTTTGCAGTTATAATATACTGCATATTTCTTTTCCTTACATTTCACAACATTAGAAATTGTACTTGTATTGTTTTCTACATTTGGCATATCAAAAATCGTGTTCAGTGAAAAAGTTGCAGGTATTAATGGTGTTATGTCATACTTATATGCTATCCCGATAAGAGAGGCAATTTGAAACATTTGATTTCCAATTCTCCCTTGATAATCCTCTATCGTAATAAAACGTTTGCATAAAACATTATTTGGTTTTGTGCTGGTTTTGTTGATAAAATAATGAGATTTAATCACGTTGATGACTCCTAAATAAGTAACATTCTTTACTGAGTTTGGTGTATCTATTGAAACAGACACAGTATTCTTTCGGTATTTATTTTGTAAGAGTTGAAAACATTTTTTAACATACTTGGTGTAAGAATTATCCGTAGCGACACGTGCAACATTGTTTTGTACTCCAAATATCGAGCCCATATCTAAATATTTATTTAAATAAAAAGTATGGTAATAATTTGCATGTACATTTTCGTGAATAAAACGAATTACTATAAGAAGACATAATGAGATCTGAATTATTCTTTTACACTTACAATTGAGTTTAAAAATCATTGCAAATATTTTCTCAGTTTTGAGTTTGTACTTGTCTTAAAAAACAAAGTTAAGGAAAATGTCCCATAGTTATTCCAAGATAAAGTAAAAATGTTATCTCAAAACAATACAGCAGCAACAAAACAACAGCAAAAATAAAAAAAATATATCAATAATCAGATTTATGAACTATTTAAACTCTTACCCTTTTTCTATGCCTTTACATTCAGTGAAATAAAAACCTTTCAGAAAAAAAACATAGCAAAGTCTATCATTATGTATTTAGTTTGCATCAATTTTATATAATATTTAACAATTTTATATTCAATTAAACGCATCTTTTTTCATAATGAATTTTATCATGCTTTCAATTACTTCATTATCTGCTTTGCAAAACTTTTACTATTTTAAAAGACAGTAAATGAAATTTTCCATCCCACACAAACATGGGCGGTCAGACACTTCATCAAATTTGCTTTAAAGGTAAGCCATTCAATAACTACAAATGACAAACCAATGTCTATTTCTAGCCTTCAGTCGAGCAAAGAGGAAAAAGTCGCATCTGAAGAATGTAATGGTGTCTTTTGACGGTCACTTTATTTTCAAGGAAATTAATGAATAATAGTAGGTTTTTTTTGCCTATGAGCGTTTTAGTGCAGAATTAAAATCACTCCTTTTCACACCATAAAGTAGTTATTGAATTTCAAAACTGTCGGGACATTTTTAGTCAAACATTAAAGACAATGTTTTTTTTTAATCTTTTTTCACTAGCAGTTCAACATCGGAACGTTTATTTTATTACATTTATATTAGGGTTGTAAAATTGCGAATAACCTTACTTGCAAAACACCGAAAACGTTTAAACTATAAACACCGGCCAAATAGACAATGTTTATATAATTGATTAACTCATGGCAAGAATATGCCATCATACAAAGCCTTGAACGAAGTGCATGTACAGTTTATACAGAAGGAGTCAAGATAGCAGTAGTATCCTCTTTTTGATAAAGCCATTGGAAATTGATTTTAACATCCAAATTAGGTGTCTAAACATCGGAGTTTTAATCTGTGACAAGATAAGAAACAAAATAATCCAAAGTGGAGAAGAGATTGTAAGAACATCAGGCAATGTTCTTATATTAAGAAGCAATGTCATTTCCTCAAGCAATTCTCTTAAAGGTGTTACTGTATGAATATTTAAATCAATGCTAAGTTTGCTTACTATTTATAGTCACTGTATTTTGGGTTGCGTGTGTTTGAGTTAGAGTTCTTAATCTTTATAACTTGGGATGAATAAGTTTATACCTGTCTTTTAAGAAAGTGAATCGACGTTAATACGCTTGCTGATATAATGCAAGCTAGATAAACGGCTAACAACGGAAATTCTATCGGATACTTATATATTTGGTTTAATGAAAATGTGATTCACACAGACATTGAGAGATGAGCCTGATGCGTTGGTAAGTCCTTCGTTTTATTTAATGATTTTAACTATGCTTTATAAAAAATGATAATAAGAGCCGTCTTTTGCTGATCCGTTACGGTCGTAAACTTGTAACCCTTTGCCCCTCTGTGTTGTTTGTTCGAATAACGCTAGGAACCTAAAGAACATTTGTAAACTTATCCATGTGGATGTCATTGCTAGTGGAGGTGATATTTATTCCACAAGAAAGAACGGGAAATACGAAATAAAAATTTAGATATGGCTTTAAAGCCAACCTAAAATATAATTATATATGTGCACTGTAATACAATTTGTTTCGCGTTAATATTTTTATCCATTATCTAACATAACAGACAGATATTTGAGCAATGTTATTTTAACTTCTTTTCATATTACGACCGGGATATAATGATACTTTGAAATTGTTTAGAAAACCCGGCTTCGCGACTCGTGAAAATACTGTTTTTAAAGCTCACGAGATAAAAAATAATGCATGACACACAAACTTAACCAAATATCTTCGATTTACTCCACATTGAAGCTTGTATTGTTTGTATTTTCTTGATGCTTTTTATTTATGCATATACATGAATGTGTCCTGTATAACAACACAATTGTAAACCTATTCAAATTACCCCACATATTGTGCTTTCTTTTTATATATCTAAAGGTTAGACAAAACAAAACATGGGCTTATGCTACTCCTTTTTGTATTTTCGATCGGGCTTTACTACTTACTGTTCTGGTGCAGATTCAACATATCTTTACAAAGAAAAGAACAAATACCAAACATGTAAATACTTTTCATATCAATTTAATTTTTGTCTCATTGTAAGGATATTCATATCATCATTAAAAATTATAAAAAAAAATATCACCAAGTAACTTTTATATGTCCATAACAATGTGTTTTGACGCTATTTGGTGTAATGAATTTCTTTTGTAGATATTTCTAATAATTAGGGAAATTATCTTTTAATATTGCTTTTTATTATCTTTCAATAAGTAAACATCTTGACTGAAAAAAAATTGAACTGCAATAAAAGTAATATTTTGAAAGCAACATTTCAGTGACAACTTCAAGGTTAAAGACAACCGCAATGTTAACCTACAATTGAAAAATGATATGGAGGCATATATTCAAGATAAGATCAAACAAATTCAGGTTTGCTTTATAAGTATTATTCTACAAAGTAGGGTATCAAAAAGGTGACCAATGTCAATTTAATATGTTTTGTCTAGAATTAAAAAGATATATATTCTTGTGCAAGAGGAGGGAGTAAATACCATCTATACAAGGCCTCGTCTGCAGTTTAAAGCTAGCATCTTCAATAGTTAGTTATACAAAAGTTAAAACATCTATGTACTCATTAGTTGATATGATAGCAAAAAGATAGTGCATTTTTTAATTAACTATTTACATAATACAGTTTGAGTATATTATATCCAGTTTTTGTATTTGTGGAAATGAAATACTCTGAATCCCAAGAGAACATTTATCTCCTGTGTATTGTATATATTATAAAATTATATATGATATAAATGTCCTTTTGTTTTTGTAACATTATAATCAATTGTAAGGTAAAATGGTGGATGGATCCTGACCCTATTTTACCTAATACGGGGACAATAAACGGAGTTACCTCTTGGGCGTCTAAAAAAACGAAAAAAAAATCTACAAAATTTAGGTTTGATGTAACTAAAACTCTAGAAGGATTTTTGACATTTAATGCATGTATGCATGTAATATCATACTTCTTTTTTCTTTACGCAAGTGTAATTCATATCTAATGATAATTGTGTCAGACAACAATTATTGTTATATTTTCGATCCTTGAAGATCGTTCAGCACGACATTATTTTTGTGTATACATTTTAGATAGTATTTTAAGTTTCTTGTATTTGGCCTTTTTCAACTTAGGTGGTTCCAGTATTCCTACATGAATACTGTATAATCACCCTAAGGATATGTTGCCTGCTTTTTATATTTGTCTTTTGACGTCTTGTCTGTGATATGCAGGCTTCATAATCCCAGATCCCCTTTCAAAATTCCATTTTATTTAGTTCCGCCGATTGTTTTCTCGTTAAGGACTAACGCATTCTTTTACTTGGGGTCCATACGCTGCTTTTCATGGAATGACACATTACTGTGTCATATTGAAGGTTCCATGATTACCGCCGTATGAACACATCTGCGGATGTTTCTAAATTCAAAATTTCACATTTTGTTTGTTTAAATGTTGAATTCTGCTTAAGCCAGTCCTAGCGTGGACGGTTATTTGCACTTTCCAGTACCGTCCATGAACAGGCTCAATCAAACCGAGCCTGCAACATTTAACAATTTTGCCGTGTTGGGCTTTCTTTAGGGATTCTGTTTTTCCCTATTTCTATATTGATTATACCTGATGACATTTCCTTCTTTTCCATTGTATTCAATACAGAATCCAACGAGTTGTGAGTTATCTTCAAAAGTGGTTTGCGAACTTCCCCCTGGTAAAATTTGTTATATTTATCATAATTCATTGTAACAATCTTAAGATATGATTATGTTATTTATAAATTCAAACAAACAATACAAAAGACTTTACACTGGTGTTAGTTGAGATGATGGTGACAATGATGAAGTGGATGATTCTTATAAAGATAATGATGATGATAAGAATGGATTTTATGATGATAATGATGGTTATGATGATTATAATAGACGGTTAAATATCCATTCACTTAGGATAATTTAAATACTACGTATTGTTATATTTTTCTGGTCCTGTGGAATCATTGATGCCAGCACTATTAAGTGTTGAGAATAGAGTACCGCTCTGAGAATTGAGTACCGCTCAAGCCGGTGCTAGGGGCGTGAGGGATGTTGCACTTATTTATTATCCCTCATGACTCAATTAAATCAAGTCTGCAATTCTTATGTAATTTTGTTTTGATTAATGCTTCCGAGCCCAGATTTTTATTATAAATAAAAATAAATAAAATTTATAAAAATGATAACAAAAATAATGATTATGATAAGTATATGTTTAAAATACATGTATTATAATGCATATTTCTATTACAGCTGGTTTCGGTAGTCAGGTACATTTATTGACGATCTGTTTTACAATTGGATTTATGACTAAGAGGGTGGTTATATTTAAGAAAGGCAGATCAAAGTACAATAAAACAGGATGGGATGAGCTGTTCTTGCCTCTAAGCAGTACTTGTTCAACACATATGAACTCAACTGTTCATCAAGTTCTGAGTAATGCTATTTTCAAACAGTTATTATTTTTCAGCTTTTTTAGTTGTGTATTGTGTTAAATGTCTCGTTACGAAGTACTTGTTAAAGCCGATATCTGATCAATAGATCATTTTTAATAAAACTACACATACTCAATGTCCTTTAAACTTTTTCCGTCTTTCAATAATAATACTTAGATTTTATGTCACTAGACCAAACGATTGAAGAAGAAGCTTACAGTATAAGTTTTGCTTTTCACTTTATTTGCCTGAGCCTATCTTCTAGTGTGAGTTGCAGTTGCGATTGGAAAAAAACGCACACCATCAGACCATAAAACCTTTATATGTACGATCATCATTATAAAACATCACAGAAAGCAAAGCAATGCAATGAGTTGAAAATAAGAAAGGAGGAATTTATTTTTGAGTTTTTATTTTATTTTTACAATATTAATATGTTTTGTAATTGTTAAACGTGATGTCAGATTTACTTATCCGAACAATGAAATGATTATGTATCTATAATTAAAAAAGTTATCTATAAAGGTTTGTACAACATAGGAACTAACTAACGAGTGTACATCTGCATCTTTTATTACAAAAACATGTAAGGGAACATTAAATAGCAAGTATCAATTTAGTGAAAATTATGAACAATTTAATGCAGATAAATAATAACAATAACACTTAAATGAAAACATCAAGTCTTCTTTATATCAAATGCTGACCAAGTAAAAACTGTTAAAGATATTGAATTAATATATGAACAATGAAACAACACTATAATTATAACAGTAATTGACAATAAGTTAAGAGATTTCATTGAACGAATTAGTGACATTGAACTTCTTCTGGAGAATCAAATCAACCACTGTATGTTAAAATGCATTGGAAAATAGCTTCTCTATGTCTATTTGATTTCCATAATCAGATATTTCATAACTAATGAAATTAAGTATATAATTGATACATTAAGTTATAATCACAAACCTCTAGTCAGGGTTTAAAAGTAGTTATACGTAAGCTTACAATTTACAAATCGGTGTACCCTTGCAATTCGGAAATGTAGAAAAAGTCACAATAGGAACACAGAAAGTCATATGATTTATTTAACAAGTCTAATTGATACTGTTCATAGAAGACGCATGACCGCAAGAGAGACACTGCACATTAGAATGTCGTGATCAAGTGCAATATAAAGACGGAATAAGTAAGAATGAAAATCCTGCATAGGAAGCTTTCCTTAGAAAAATGCAGACATAATAAAAACAAAACTCAATTCGTATTGATTATGTCCATAAGAGATGAGTACTGAA